GACTGGTTCTGTGACCTTGGGAGGTTCGGTAACGTCTTTGTGCCTCAGTTTCTCCATTTGTAAAATGGATTTTAAACTAGTAACTATTTCATGGGATTATTGTGGGGATTAAGGGGATTAATGTGTTTAAAGCCCCTGGAATAGTGCTAGCACAGAGCAGCGTTCTCTGAAAGTCAGCTATCATTTTCATTACTACTGTGATTATTAGGGCATCCCACTGGACTGCACACTGCTTGGGGCCATGAGTGGGGGAAGAAATGAATGAACAGCTTGTGTTCTGGAAGCTCCTTGGCAACACATGCAGGCGGGTGCTCTCACACGTGTAGGTGTGGAACGAGTCCAGGGAAAATGAAGCTCTCTGCAGTGGAAGGCAGGTGGGGTGAGGAGTGGCTGAGGGTTGGGTGGGTATCCACCCTGTGTGTGAGCACACGCAGGAAGGCCGAGGCTTTCAGGCGAGTCTTCGTGGGCACGTGCACAGGCACGTGGGCCCCTGCACATACACGTGAGCAACCAGCTGTGTTGGCTTCTGTCATGAGTTGTGGGGATGACATCCTGTCCCAGGCAACAGTGGAGGAAGGGTGGCCAGGAAACAGATGTGGTATGGGTTGGAAGAGTAAGATTCAGGGCTAGGCCAGGGTAGGCCAGGGTCCTGCTCAAGCTCCCTCTCCATCCCTCGCCCTGCCCTCTTTCGTGGACTCTGCCTCTTACCCTGGCCTGAGCCCTCTATAAAACCTCATTTATGTTTCTCACTTGATGCTCATGGCAGCCTGTACTGTGGGCATGATCGTGAAACCCATTTTAGTCACTAGGGAGCTGAGGCTTAGAGAGGAAGACTGATGGGGCCAAGGTCCCACAGTTTGTGAGTGGCAAGACTGGGTGGCGAGGTCAACCCAGTGTCTCTTCCCTGGCCACCCTCAGCTAGGCCCCCTCCTTGTCCTTCCCCGTGCTGCAGGCCTCCACCATCTGGCCTCCTGTCTCGGCTCCAGGTTTGTGAATCCTGAAGATCCCCAACACTCCTCTGTGGGCCGCTGAGTCCCCTGCACTTGTTCACTACCTGCTCTATCCTGTTCTGGCTCCTGCCCAGGCCCCAGGGCTGCTTGCAGGAAGACCTGGGGAGCTGGGCAGACCAGCCCAGCACAAACAGCTCTGTCTCCAGAAGCAACTGTGGGCCCCACCCAAGAGAGACCAGACAGCCCTGGCTTGGGCCTGGGCAGCGGGCAGGCTGCCTTCCCAGCCCTGGACTCAGGTCAATCTGTGGGCAGCCAGAGGGCATCTTGGGGAAGGGGTCTGGGGACTGCCCACCTCCCCACGTTCTCCAGGAGCATCTGGTTGCTATTAGGGGCAGAGAAGTGAGAGGGAGCCGGCAAGGGTCCAGTAGGCGCCAGCAGCCAAGAATGACTTAATTGGATACAATGTCTAATGACAAAGCAGAGCCCCACAGCAGAGTTCTGGCCTCAGCCCCAGGCCTGGGCCTGGCCAAGCCTGGTCTCAACCTCTGTCCTTGCTGGCTCCCAGGAGCTACCCTATGCATTGCGTCCTCAATTCTGCAGTGATGGAGCACCTGCTGTTTGCTGGACATGCCAAATTTGAAGAAGGTTGAGAGAATCCTGGGGGAACTCAAATCTGCCAGGGAGATAGGCACATAGTCGCACACGTAGGTGCTCTAGGAGAGGGAGAACCACATCCAGGAGCTCTGGGGAGTGAGGTGAAGGAAGGCAGAGGTTGAGACAGGTATCTGACACAGGGTGGGCCTGAAATGGATGAGGGTCACAGGTGGGAATATCAGATCTACCTGTCTGGTGGTCTGTTCTCATATATACATCCATAGTAGGTATGACCAGTAGGATGGCAATAGAAGGCACAGCTTTGGGGACATAAATCTTTTTGAAATGGAAAAGGATGGTTTTGTGTTATTTATTTATTTTGAGATGAAGTTTCGCTTTTTTGCCCAGGCTGGAGTGCAATGGTGCAATCTTGGCTCACTGCAACCTCCGCCTCCCGGGTTCAAGCAGTTCTCCTGCCTCAGCCTCCCGAGTAGCTGGGATTATAGGTGCCCGCCACCACACCCGGCTAATTTTTGTATTTTTAGTAGAGATGGGGTTTTGCCATGTTGGCCAGGCTGGTCTCGAACTCCTGACCTCAGGTGATCCACTCACCTCAGCCTCTCGAAGTGCTAGGATTATAGACGTGAGCCACCGCACCAGGCCTTTTGTTAGAACTAATTTAACAGACCTGGTGCAGTTGCTCATGCTTATAATCCCACCACTTTGGGAGGCCAAGGTGGGAGGACCGCTTGAGCCCAGGAGTTCAAGGCCAGTGCGGGCAACATGGTGAAACCCAGCCTCTACAAAAAATACAAAATAAAATAATAATAATTAACCGGGTGTAGTGGCACGCAACTGTAGTCCCAGCTACTCAGCCCAGGCCCCAGGGCTGCTTGCACACCAGCCCAGCACAAACAGCTCTGTCTCCAGAAGCAACTGTGGGCCCCACCCAAGAGAAACCAGAGGATTCTGGACCAGAGGAGAGGTGGGAGGATTGCTTGAGCCTAAGAGGTCGAGGCTACAGTGAGCTGTGATTGTGCCACTGCACTCCAGTCTGCGTACTAGAGTGAGACCCTGTCTCAAAAAAATCATGAATTTAACAACCTAGAGGGAACTGGAGAGGAGATCATGGAACCTAGGAATGGCTGCGAAATGGCCTGTGTGTAGTCACTTTCCAATCCTGTGCCTATGGCAGACATTGCTAATTGATCTTGACGGTCTTTCCTGCTAAACACAAGAGGAGCCTTTGCAGTCTCAATTAGAGTTCCTCTGGCCGTCAGGAATGGATTGCAGATGGCATGTGATATGAAACCTATTTGCCATCCTAGACAGTGTCTAGGTAGTGATAGGAGTAAAACAGTGTTCTCAATGGGGCAAGAGAGGGGTAGTTTTGTTCCCCAGGGGATATTTGGCAATGTTTGGGGACATTTTTCATTGTCACAGCCTGGGATGGGGAGGGCCGTGGTGCTATTGGCATTTAGTGAGCAGGGGCCAAGGCTGCTGCTAAACATCTTACAGAGCACTGGACAGCTCCTGCATAACAATGAATTATCCAGTCCAGCCAACAATCCAATTTAAAAACAGGCAAAAGACTTAAATAGACATTTCTCCAAAGAAGATATACAAATGGCCCACAAGCATATGAAAAGATGCTCAGCATTGCTAATCATTAGGGAAATGCCAGTTTATAAAAACAACGAGACACAACCTCATACCTGTTAGGATGGCTACTATAAAAAAAACAGAAAATAACAAGTATTGGCAAGAATGTTGAGAGATTGGAACCCATGTGCACGGTTGGTGGGAATGTAAAATGGTCCAGCCACCCACTTTACATGGAAAACAGTATGGTGATTCTTCAAAAAATTAGAAATAGAATTACCATATGATCCAGCAATTCCACTTCTAGGTATATACCCAAAAGAATTGAAGGCCAGGTCTCAAAGAGATATTTGTACACCCATGTTTGTAGCAGCATTGTTCACAATAGCTAAAATGTGGAAGCAAAACAGACATCCACTGATAGTTGCATGGGTAAGCAAAATGCGGTATATCCACACAATGGAATATTATTCAGCCTTCAAAAGGAAGTCAATTCTGCCATATGCTACGACATGAATTAACCTTGAATTTATTATGCTAAGTGAAATAAGCCAATCACAAAAAGACAAATATAGTATGATTCTATTTATATGAGATACTTAGAGTAGTCAAAATCATAGATACAGGCTGGGCGTTGTGGCTCATATCTGTAATCCCAGCACCTTGGGAGCCAAGGAGAGAAAATTGCTTGAGACCAGGAATTCAAGACCAACCATCCTGAACAACATAGTGAGACCCTGTCTCTATAAAAAGTAAAAAGATTAGCTGGGCATGGTGGCGCATGCCTGTAGTCCCAGCTACTTGGGAGGCTGAGGTGGGAGGATTGCATGAGCCCAACAGTTGGAGGCTGCAGTGATTGAACCACTAGACTCCAGCCTGGGTGACAGAGCAAGGCCCCATCTCTTAGATAAAATAAAATAAAATAAAATAAAATAAAATAAAATAAAATAAAATAAAAAACAGGGGTGAATAGGGAGTTATTATTTAACAGGTGCAGAATTTTAGTTTTACAAGGTGGAAAGAGTTACGCAGATGGATGGTGGTGATGGTCATACAACATTAGGAATGTATTTAATGCCACTGAATTGTACACTTGGAAATGGTTAGATGGCAAATTTTGTTATGTGTATTTTGCCACAATAAAAAAAAGTGGAAAAAGGAATTATCCAGTCCAAATGTCAATAGTACCGAGGTTGAGAAGCCCTGAACGAAAAGAACTGCTCTCTGGCTTCTAGTCTGCTGACCCCACTGGGAAATGGGATTATGTGCCATTTCTGGCAGAGAAATAAGAAACTGGTTTGGAAGGTTCCATGGCAATGGTTCTTACCCTTGCCTGCAGAGTTAAGTCCAAGGCTTCTCAAAATCTTCCCTGAAGATCTTTTAAGAAATCAAATGGCCCTGGCTACACCAAAGACCAGTTATGAGAGATATCTGGGGTGGGACCCAGACATCAGGAACTTTTGAAGCAGCCCTGGTGACTCCAGTGTGTAGCTGAGGTTGAGAATGATCAACCTTTGGAGGCAGATCAGCTTGGGTTTGAAACTTATCTCCATGCCTAACCCACTGTGTGACTTTTAACCTCTGAGCCTCTGATTCCTGTCTGCAAAATGGAGAGTATCCTATCTACTGCAGAGAGCTGGCGTGAGGATTAATAGGATATGTGCGAAGTGCTTGGCCTGGAGCTGGGCACGCGACTCTCAGTACACATTGGGTGTCTCCTGTCCTGGTAGTCAAGTGTCTGCAAAGTCTACAATGGCATGGTCTTGGGGCCCTTGCAGAATAACTGGGCTGGATTCCCCTCCTGGATCTTCATTCTGGACTGCTGGCACTCAGGTTTCTGTCCCCTTCTCCCAGGTCACGATGAGGGCCCAGGCTCTGGATGGGCTGCCAAGGGGATCGTACGGGGCTGGAACCGGAGAGCCCGAGAGAGCCCTGGGCAGGTGTCAGAGCCGGACAGGACCCAGCTGAGCCAGGACCTGGGTGGGGGCACCCTGGCCATGGACACGCTGCCAGATAACAGGACCAGGGTGGTGGTGAGTGCTGGAGGAACATGGAGGGGGAGCGAAGTGGGGGTGGGGGAGGTCTCACCAGCTGCCCCAGGTGTGCTTGTCCTACATGCAAATCACATATCATTTGTGGTTGGCCCTGGAGGTCAGGGTGGAGAGAAGAATCCCAGGGGAGGGGATGGAAGCAGAGCCCAGAATGGATCATAAAGTCACAGCATCTCAGCGTTTCATAGGCTGCCTACTCCCTCCTGGCCCCAGAGACATCAAATGGATTGTACCAGGATGCACAGCCTGGCCACAGCGATCCTGACACTGGACTCTCCCATGACTTAGGGAAGAAAAAGCTGACGGTGGCATTATGAGTCACATCTCAGCTGCCAGATGGGGCCCTTCCCCACCCCATTTCTGCCCCATCTACAGACCGGGGCGCAAGAGGATTAATGGCTGCTTAGCCTAAGGGCTGGGCACTCAGCAGGGGGCTGAGTAGAGAAAGCAATTAGGGTGCAGCTCCTGGAGACAGCCTCCTCGGCCTGGGGCAGTTCTGGGGTGCTGGCGCAGGGAGGCGGGGCCTGGAGGAAGTGCTCTCCCTTCAGGTTTCTGGGAGGCTCTTGGAAGCCTCGGTGTGTCTGCGGGGGAATCCGTTAATATAATCGTGCGTTTCTCGGAATGGGTGTGTGTGTCATGGACACTGGGTTCGCACCTGTGTCACATGATTTGGTGTATTATGTGTGTGTACCTGTCTGTCACTGTGGGCTGTTTGTGGGTGTTTGTGATGAGCATGTGTGAGTGCACGTGTGAGTGTGCCTGTGGCAGTGTGTGTAGGTGCCTGCGGTGGTGTGTGTAGGTGCCTGTGGCGGTGTGTGTAGGTGCCTGCGGCTGTGTGTGAGTGTGCCTGTGGCGGTGTGTGTAGGTGTCTGCGGCTGTGTGTGAGTGTGCCTGTGGCGGTGTGTGTAGGTGCCTGCGGCTGTGTGTGTAGGTGCCTGTGGCGGTGTGTGTAGGTGCCTGCGGCTGTGTGTGAGTGTGCCTGTGGCAGTGTGTGTAGGTGCCTGTGGCAGTGTGTGTATGTGCCTGTGGCTGTGTGTGAGTGTGCCTGTGGCAGTGTGTGTAGGTGCCTGTGGCGGTGTGTGTAGGTGCCTGCGGCTGTGTGTGAGTGTGCCTGTGGCAGTGTGTGTAGGTGCCTGCGGCTGTGTGTGAGTGTGCCTGTGGCAGTGTGTGTGTAGGTGCCTGTGGCGGTGTGTGTAGGTGTGTGTAGGTGCCTGTGGCGGTGTGTGTAGGTGCCTGCGGCTGTGTGTGAGTGTGCCTGTGGCAGTGTGTGTAGGTGCCTGTGGCGGTGTGTGTACGTGCCTGTGGCTGTGTGTGAGTGTGCCTGTGGCTGTGTGTGAGTGTGCCTGTGGCGGTGTGTGTAGGTGCCTGTGGCGGTGTGTGTAGGTGCCTGCGGCTGTGTGTGAGTGTGCCTGTGGTGGTGTGTGTAGGTGCCTGCGGCGGTGTGTGTAGGTGCCTGCGGCTGTGTGTGAGTGTGCCTGCGGCGGTGTGTGAATGTGCCTGTGGCTGTGTGTGTAGGTGCCTGCGGCTGGGAGTGATGAGGGTGGATTCTTAGGACTCAAGAAACAACAAGAGGACCTGCTTCTCAATATAGATTTCTTTATTTTATATTTGAATAACTATTTTCTTAAATAAGTATGTGCAGATAGAAAAAAAAAGGTTAAATAGTGCTAAAATCATAAAACAAAACAGCAGTCCTGCCCCTCCTCTCCTCTGGGGTCTGCCCCCTCCCCTTTCTCAGAAGGCTCTGCCTGCCTGGGCTGTTTCTTCTGGAGTTTACTTCCATATTTCCAAGGGTTTTGCTTATACTGTACTGCTACCTGTCTGTGCACCGGTTTTAGGCGTACCTATTCATGGCCTGCTGCGTCTCAGGGAGATTTGGCTTTTGTATACTCCCGCTGAGCAACCTTTCACCCTGCCGCCCAATCTTCCTGTTCAATCCCTGTACTCGGTTGTGGATTGTTACAATCATGTACATAGTGTTCACTTCTAATCCAGGCAGGGTCATATCATTATTTCTTTTCTTGTATGATTTTGGCTCTTCTTGGATCCTGGCCCCCTCTCCTGGCCTTGCTTACTTAGTTTTCTGTGCCTACCATAGCTACATTTTCCTACACATCCTCTGGCCTCAAATGTAATTTTCATTGTAGGCTGGGCATGGTGGCCCACACCTGTAATCCCAGCACTTTGGGAGGCTAAGACGGGTGGATTGCTTGAGCTCAGGAGTTCCAGAGTAGCCTAAGCAACATAGTGAGACCCACATCTCTAAAAAATTAAAACAAAAATTATCTGGGTGTGGTGGCTTGCCCCCGTAGTCCCAGCTACTTGGGAGGCTGAGGCTGGAGGATTGCTTGAGGCTGGGCGGTCAAGGCTGTGTTGTGCTGTGACCTCACCAGCCTGGGCAAAAGAAGACTATCTCTGAAAAAAAACAAAAGAAAGAAAAAAAGATAATTTCAGGGTGGTCAAGCCTGTCAGTTCCTTTATGCTCCCGAGAAACTTCTCTCCTGTCCTGCACTCCAATCCCGTCTGGCCACTCGCCTGCTGGTACCACGGGTGCCATCCTGGGTCCTCCCTTTCCCTTCATCCTGGGAACCCCTTTGTCTCCCTCCTGTGTTGGATCCCCTGTTCCCTTGACCCTGTGTCTTCTCTTTCCTGCTTCATCCTTTTGTTTGTTTAGCTTCCTGGGAAAGGGTTGCACAGAGGGAAAAATTCCCTTGAGAACATACATGTCTGAAAATGCCTTTATTCTGTCCTTTCATTTGATTGGTGGTTTGGCTGAATATAGAATTCTGGATAGAAAATAATTTACTTTTTCTTTTTTTTGAGACAGAGTCTCGCTCTGTCGCCGAGGCTGGAGTGCAGTGGCAAGATCTTGGCTCATTGCAACCTCCTCCTCCTCCTGGGTTCAAGCGATTCTCCTACCTCAGCCTCCTGAGTAACTGGGATTACAGATGTGTGCCAGCATGCCCGGCTAATTTTTTGTATTTTTAGTAGAGATGGGGTTTCACCATGTTGGCCAGACTGGTCTCGGATTCCTGACCTCAAGTGATCTGCTAGCCTCGGCCTCCCAAAGTGCTGGGATTACAAGTGTAAGCCACCACGCCGGGCCTTGAGAATAATTTTCTTTCAGAAGTTTGGAGGCATCTCTCCGTTGTCTTCTGGCTTCTGATGTCACTGTTCAGAGGCTTGGTGTGATTCTTATTTTTGACCTTTGTATATATCTGTTTTACCCTGACTTCTGGAAGCTCTCGGGGTGCTCCCTGGAACCCCAGCATTCTGAAATTGCAGTGACATGCCCTTCTCTGGCTGTTTTTGTTTGCCATGCTGGATATTGGGGGACTGTTTCAATCAAGGGACTTAATATTTGTCAGTTCTGGAAAGTGTTTTTGCTTTATTTCTTTCAGATTTCTCCTTTCTACAATTCCTCATGGTTAGATGTCCGTTTCTGGAATTGATCCTTAAATTTTTTCTTCTCTCTTCTGTTGTGCATCTCTTTTGCATTTTTTGTTGTTTATTTGTTAGTTTGCTTGTTGTTGTTCTTCTTTCTGGAGGATTTTCTCAATCTTATTTTCATAATGTCACTGATTTTTTTCTCTACTATCATATTGTTAATTTCTTATAAGTACCGCACGCTAACCGATTGCGCCACTGGAGCCACTATATTGTTAATTTCTAAGTGCTCTTTTTTATTTTCAGATTTATTTTTCTTTAACAAAAAAGCATCCTGTTCTTGTTTTGTGGATATAATATCTTTTCTCTCTGAGGATATTAGAACAATTTTGAGATTCCCCCCCCGCCACCCCGCTCTCTGCATTGTTCCTGTTACTGTTTTTTCCTTGTATTTCAGGCTCTGAAATGGTTTGGAACCATGACTAAACCTGTATTTCTTTAAAATTTTGGGCCAGGCATGGTGGGTCATGCCTGTAATCCCAGCACTTTGGGAGGCTCGAGGTGGGAGGATCCCTTGAGGCTAGGAGTTGGAGACCAGCCTGGGCAACATAGTGAGACCTTGCCTCTATAAAAAACATAATAAACTTTTGATATTGTGTTCATCGAAATATTAATTTTTTGTATTCATTTTGATTTTTTAAAATATTGCATTGAAGTATTCTCTATCTTGATTCCTAAGTTTTGGTGCCATCTCAGATGTTGTACCTGTGGTAGGTGCCTCCTCACCTCACCCTAGTTTGGGCTTCTAGTTTGAGGCAGAACTTCAGGGGACATGGCATCACTCCCTTCCCAATCTTCCCCGTCTCCTTGATCCTGCAGACCAGGGAGTGGGACTACTGTGGTGAGATGGTGGAGTGGAAGGCCAGAGTAGGAGAGGCCCCTGATTAAGGAGACACCTGGCAGCTCATCCCTAACCCCACAGCTTTATTGGGACATTGGTTGAATAACTGATAACCTGCTCAGGACCAGACACACAGGTCAGAAGGGTTATGTCCCAGTCTGCACAAAGAGGACCTTTCAGAAAAGAGCCATGGAGACTCAGATTTCTGGAAGCAATTGTCTGTGGGCGTTCAGAAAGGACAGTGGGGTTCATTAAGAGCCAGTATGGATTCAATAACACCAGAGCTTAAAAAACAACACCGCAAATTCTCAGGCTCCACCCAGATGGTTCAGAAACACTGGAGCAATGGATTTTGGGAATTTGTTGTTGTTGTTGTTATTGTTTTAAGTTCCCTATGTGTTCCTGGCAAAGTTGCAGAGATTTAAAAATGTGATTTTGATGGTCATGTAGGTGTGGGAACTTTTTTTTTTTTTTTTTTGAGACGGAGTGTTGCTCAGTTGCCCAGGCTCGAGTGCAGTGGTGTGACCTCGGCTTACTGAAGCCTCCACCTCCGAGGTTCAAGTCTTTCTCCTGCCTCAGCCTCCCAAGTAGCTGAGATTACAGGCGCGCCATCACGCCTGACTAATTTTTGTATTTTTAGTAGAGATGGGATTTCACCATGTTGGCCAGGGTGATCTCAAACTCCTGACCTCAA